CCGCGACTCCGCATCGCAATTCGATTCAAGAACATTTTCGCACCTCCGATTCGTACGGTTAGGCTTCGCATGCACAGCTGTCAACCCATACGTTTTACCCCGTATTCTTGTCGAGGGACATTGAGTTTTCAGGTCCATACGGCGTACAGCTGTTTCAATGCGGGCCCATTTTTTTGGTGTTTCTTCCTTGTGAGATTTATAAGGGCACGGGGTAGGAATTGGTCTGTAATAAGGCAGGCACTGATAAGGGGTTGACAGGTATGCATAAGGTGCGAAGGAAGTTCAACGTACGTGTAACACATTGCACGTACGGACAGAGCGGGCCTCTAACGGCTGCCCGGGTGTCATGAACCCAATGCAAAACAATTTTCTTTCAAATCGACAAGCACCAATTTTTAAATCTTGACTTAAAGCTTTCGTGACTGCAGGAATTCATACTCTTTGGGTCTTTCGGTAAAGATAGAAAAATAATAATAAAAAATCACGGCGTTTCGATCGCAACACAAGCAATCGTCCTCAGGTGAAAAAAAATATAGCAAGAGAGCTGCTGAAGCAGGGTGTTATATAGGCCTGAGATGGGCGCAGCCCAAGGGGAAGTGGGCGGGGTTAGAGAAGGAAGATCGAGGGCAACCCAAAGCTGTTGGGCTAGCCGTTGTATCGTGAGAGATTAGCATGTCAATGTAGCCACCGCCACATCGAGGAATGCAACTCAGAGAGTCGGAAATAACTGCTAACATCGGCAGGTAGGATGGAAACATCACTGACAGTTATGACTTCAGCTGGTTAATAACGTCCTTCCAATGATTGCTCTGTTTGTACCCATCTTCTTGGTTGAAATTTTGCCTGTGTTTATATATCTGGATGGCTTCATGAATGCATCTTTGTTGATAGCCAGTAGGTTTGCAGAGTACCTTCGTCTTGGAGAAATCAATTTATTGTGTCCCCACAGCATTTAAACAATGATCAGCCATGGCCGAGGTATTGGTACTACCGTGTTTCAGATCTGCCTTATGTTCACAAACACGGTCCGAGACATGTCGCTTAGTTTCCCAAATGTAACTACTGCCGCAGCCACAGCTTAGTTTGTATTGCATGTCCGGGAGCACATCCTTCACAGATGGCATCAGATCACGAATTTTATGTACTGTGTTGAATCAAACCTGGATCTTGTGTTTGCTATGTATGGCAAATGGCGATGGTTTTGATTGGGTCCTCAGATGGTTCTCTCCCAACGGTTGGGGTGATAGCTTTGCGGATTGTGTAGTCCGAATATCCATTCATCTTGAGGGCTTGGTGTACGTGCTCCAGTTCACTGGCTAGGTGGTGATGGTCGGAAATAGAGTTTTGATGAGGGAATTCTTCTGGGCTGGATGGTGGTGGGAGTCAGGTTTTAGATAGGCATCTGTGTGGGTGGCTTTCCTGTAGACAGTGTCTCAATGAGCCATCTGGTCTCTTTTCGATTAAAACATCCACGAATGGTAACTTGCCATCCACCAATTTGTAGACGTGCAATTTTGACGCTCGCGCGATGAACTCGACAAGCAAACGGATTCAAACGTCGAGCAAAGCGGCAGTTGCTGGATAAAGAAAGAATCGTGGTGGGAATGAATTTGACCTCATTGGGGGGTAATTAAAGATTCTAGATTTGAAGCTTTCGTGACTGCAAGGATTCATACTCTTTAGTTTTATTCGGTAAAGTCACGTAGGTAAAATAAAATAAAAGAAAACAATTGAATCACGACTTTTCGGAGACAACACAAGCTTCCGTCTTCAGGTGGAAGAGTCACAGCAGAATATCTGTGTCAAGTGCTGCGACTATTCCACCTGAAGACGGAATCTTGTGTTGCCTCCGAAACGTCGTGATTCAATTATTTTCTTTTCATTTATTTTACCTACGTGACTTTACCGAATAAAACCAAAGAGTATGGGTAATTTAAAACTTTATTATTGAAATATTTCACCTGTAAATTATATTAGCTAGAACGCGTCTTTCTGCAAGGATGCTGCCAATCCCAGAAATCCCTGGCAGTGGAAGAGAGTTGCAAGATTCTTCAGTCACGAGATTATTCAGTGTTATTCTTCAGCCACGAGATCATTCAGTGTTATTCTTCAGTCATCAGATTCTTCAGTGTTATTCTTCAGTTACGAAATTCTTCGGTGTTATTCTTCTATCATGAAATGATTCAGTGTTATTCTTCCATCATGAAATGATTCAGTGTTATTCTTTAGTTGTCTGATTCTTCAGTGTTATTCTTCAGTCACGAGATTCTCCAGTGTTATTCTTTAGTCGTGAGATTCTTCAGTGTTATTCTTTAGTCGTGAGATTCTTTAGTGTTATTCTTCCACGTGAAATGATTCAGTGTTATTCTTCCATCATGAAATGATTCAGTGTTATTCTTCAGTCACGAGATTCTTCGGTGTTATTCTTTAGTCGTGAGATTCTCCAGTGTTATTCTTTAGTCGTGAGATTTTTCAGTGTTATTCTTTAGTCGTGAGATTCTTCAGTGTTATTCTTCCACATGAAATGATTCAGTGTTATTCTTCCATCATGAAATGATTCAGTGTTATTCTTCAGTCACGAGATTCTTCGGTGTTATTCTTTAGTCGTGAGATTCTCCAGTGTTATTCTTTAGTCGTGAGATTCTTCAGTGTTATTCTTTAGTCGTGAGATTCTTCAGTGTTATTCTTCCACATGAAATGATTCAGTGTTATTCTTCCATCATGAAATGATTCAGTGTTATTCTTCAGTCACGAGATTCTTCGGTGTTATTCTTTAGTCGTGAGATTCTCCAGTGTTATTCTTTAGTCGTGAGATTCTTCAGTGTTATTCTTTAGTCGTGAGATTCTTCAGTGTTATTCTTTAGTCGTGAGATTATTCAGTGTTATTCTTCAGTTGTCAGATTCTTCAGTGTTATTCTTTAGTCGTGAGATTCTTCAGTGTTATTCTTCCATCATGAAATGATTCAGTGTTATTCTTCAGTTGTCAGATTCTTCAGTGTTATTCTTTAGTCGTGAGATTCTTCAGTGTTATTCTTCCATCATGAAATGATTCAGTGTTATTCTTCAGTCATCAGATTCTTCAGTGTTATTCTTCAGTCACGAGATTCTTTGGTGTTATTCTTTAGTCGTGAGATTCTTCAGTGTTATTCTTTAGTCGTGAGATTATTCAGTGTTATTCTTTAGTCGTGAGATTCTTCAGTGTTATTCTTCCACATGAAATGATTCAGTGTTATTCTTCCATCATGAAATGATTCAGTGTTATTCTTCAGTCACGAGATTCTTCGGTGTTATTCTTTAGTCGTGAGATTCTCCAGTGTTATTCTTTAGTCGTGAGATTCTTCAGTGTTATTCTTCAGTTGTCAGATTCTTCAGTGTTATTCTTTAGTCGTGAGATTCTTCAGTGTTATTCTTCCATCATGAAATGATTCAGTGTTATTCTTCAGTTGTCAGATTCTTCAGTGTTATTCTTCAGTCACGAGATTCTTTGGTGTTATTCTTTAGTCGTGAGATTCTTCAGTGTTATTCTTTAGTCGTGAGATTATTCAGTGTTATTCTTCAGTCACGAGATTCTTTGGTGTTATTCTTTTGTCGTGAGATTCTTCAGTGTTATTCTTCTATCATGAAATGATTCAGTGTTATTCTTCCATCATGAAATGATTCAGTGTTATTCTTTAGTTGTCAGATTCTTCAGTGTTATTCTTCAGTTGTCAGAGTCTTCAGTGTTATTCTTCAGTCGTCAGATTCTTCAGTGTTATTCTTCAGTCGTGAGATTCTTCAGCGTTATTCCGGTGCAAACACTACATCCATTCTGCAATACCTCTGCACACAGCAGCGTGACTGCATCTGCTTCACAATTTAAACCTATTCCTTCCGAAGGTGGCTGGGTGGCTCAGAGGTCAAAGGTCAGAGTTCGCACCACTGAGATCCTGCATTAAAATCTGGGCGACTGCCTGTGATTAAACCGGGTTCCTCAAGCGTCGTGCGTTGATGGCCTTAGCCCGGTCACCAATTTCTGCGCGATAAGAACACCATCGCGTTACGTTTGGTTCTGCCCTTGACCATTTCCCATTCCGAGACCGCAGGGTGGGTGTCCCGTTCACCGCTGAATCTCGGAACGCGCACGCGGCTCAGCATTCATTTTATTTAGTGAGGCATAGCGCCGATGTTTATAACGACATTGTACTCACGGCAGAGGACTCTTGCGACTCGACTGCACTCTACGATAGCTGGCGCCAAACTGCGCCATTCGCCCTCCCGCATGGCCTTGCGGGAGCCTGGGTACCAAAACAGTTATTTTCTGTTTTCTTTCAATCAACATGGCTAAATTCCAGCTGTGAGAATGTAAAACATCTGTTTGGCCGTCACGTGACAAACACTCAGTCGCAGGGCAGGTGTGAAAAGTGCTGACCACCTCCCCCATGGTGAAGGCCAGAGGTCGCTCAAGGGGATCCCATGAGGTAGCTCTGTGACGTCCACTTCCCGCCGGCCGTTAAACTAAAACGAAAGGTCGAACTGCGTGCCGTTTGCGAGAGGTCCCACGGGGATACTTCCGTCTCATGACCAGACACTAATTGGGATAAAAATCTAAAAGTACAAAATAGTTGTGTTCCACCACTGGCTCGATAATCACCAACCACATCAGCTGCAGAGACTCCGTGACCTAGCTTCTGCTGAGCTCTTTCAGCCATCCCACTGGCAAATTACTCCAACAATTGCGAAATAAATAACTAATGCCCGCTGCATTCACTTGGACAATCCTCAGCTTTCCAATCCTTCTCGAGAGACCGACCGAAGAGGTACATCGGCAAGGTTTATGTACACATGGTATAACGGTTGGCACGACAGGTGAATCAACGGTGGAAGTTACTTGCATCACCGTCCCCACATCGCATCCCCCACCGGCTCTGTCCACCCGGCAGTATACACGGGTCACGTACGACCACAGCTAGTCGATTGGCAGGTTGCGTGCGGTGAGGGTTAATGTGTGTGGTACTACCCACCTCCTTCAAGATGTCTCGTCAGCATTGATGAAGCGGTGCTCTCCATTGCAAGGCCTCGCAGGGCCACTGGCGGCCCCTGGTGCCGTTTAGTGCGGCCCCTGACGTGCGCACCACCCCCCCCCCCCCCCACCCCCGACAATACACAATTGGTGACAACACCCCCCATCATCATCATAATCATCGTACTGCTGTCAACCCCCCAATGGTTTCAAATGTGTGGTGGCGCTCTCACGCGCTGATCATGTCTTATCGGCCAAAGTGGCCCCCCCTCCACCTCTGAAAATTAGTGAAGTACAGAGGCCCTTCTGTCAGCGGTGGCATGGGCAAGGAATTGCAGGTTTCTGCCTTTACCTTTTAGACTGAAATAGGAAAGGGCAGGGTATGGGGAGAGAGTGGAGAGGTTTCTCAATGAACTTCGACACAAGTGCTCGTTTCAGGTTAAAGGTCGGCGTCCGCTGTGAATTATTCCTTCGCCGCTGTTCACTCGTTTATGTTCACGTCACATTCGTATAATGCGTATTGTGATCATGTCCCGCTGTTATATCCCTCGGCCTCATGACGGCTAGGCCTGTCGTATGTCTGACAGCTTTTTATTTTGACACGTGTAAAAACAAAGTGTGCTTCATATAGAAACCCACGTGTAAAGCGGATGCTGCGTGCATCACATTAATCAATTTGCCAAAACATGCCTTGTTGAAAGCAAGGCTGGTTTCAATAATACAAAATCGCTGCCATCATTTGATTGCAAACATTTTTCACGTCGCCCGTAACGCAAGGCACCCTATTCACAATACATTCTGAAGCCATTACAACGATCAACCCACTCATAATATTAACTAAAAACATTATTTTCTTAATTTTACGGGGTAAGGCCTACTGAGCGGTATAGCTTTTTTTCAGAAGCGACCTGGCCACGAATGACAGCTCAACGAAGGGTTTTTATCATCTCGTGGAAATTTATTGCAACCAAATACTCTAAACGCGTGATGTTGATTTCTAAATGTGGAGGGGAAAACCGGAGGACCCGGTGAAAATCCACGAGACTACGGGAAAAAAAACATGCAAAATCCTAATATACAGGTGTCAGGGTCAGGTTTAATCCCACAACCTCCTATATACCAGGTGAGGTAGTTAACATCACCATGGTGCCCATGTTAGGCTTTGAACGCTAATGGAAAGAACAGGGAATGCCTGGACTGTGAGCTCCCTCTGGGGTGTCTCTGGTTCCGCCACTGTAGCCAACGCAGAAGTATTCAACAAACCGTCTCTGGAATCGAACCAAATTGAAGCACGCTGAAAAGTAATTGGCATTGAAGCACGTTCGACTTCCCGCTGATTGTTCTCCCCTCTGCGACGTTTCCTGACAAGTCACGGCACACCACTCCCTCCTTGGCCTTCCCTGCCCCAACTTGGCCTTGGCCGTGTTCTAAATTGAGATCTACAGTTTCGAGTTTCGGGCTTCATTAATTGGGTTAATTGGGTTACACCGTAAAACTTGCGTTTGTTAAACATTTTGGGTGAAATTAAATCGAATGATTGCAGTTGATGGGGGGGGGGGGGGGGGAGTGGGGGTGGTGGCGGGGAAGCGATGGTGGCATTAGACGGTGTCGTGATGTCATGCCATGACCAGAAGCGATTCGCATTTAAGGGGCGGCTGCCACGGTGTACACGGTTAGCGGCGCACTGCACCCTGCAACGCAGAGGTCGCTGGTTCGACTCCCGTTTCACAGCTCGGCAGTCGAAACAACGGCGCAAGTCTCTCAAACCCCCCTTGCCAGCCTCGGTCCACCGAGCCGTATGAATGTTTAACCACAGTCAGTCGACCGGAAGGTGGTGGAGCGTGGTAAAGTGTGGGATGCTCTTACCCCTTCTGAGGCCTCAGGCCAGCGTGACCGAGTGGGCCCGATGCTGTACAGAGGGGTTTCTCCAATGCTCCCTCTGCAGGAGGCCACTTTCAGTGAGCAGTGGAAAATGTCCTCTGGAGATGACTCTTCCACGATGGCCAGATGCCTTGGGAGAGGTGGGAGTATACTTTTTTTAGTTTTAGTGATTTGCTTACCTTTCCAATACCATGCACTCCTAATCGTGCGTGTTTGTATCGTTTGTTTTAACTTTCTGACCCCGTGCCCCTGCTGGACGTCTGTGAAAAAGAGCTTCGTAGCTCTCATCGGATTCCTCCTGCAGTCGAAATAAAGAGGACGCGCCACGGCGTGCCGTTTAGCTCTCCGCCTCGTGTTTGGGCCGCACAGCGTGTTGCTCGTCACGAAGGCGTCCCTTCCGATTCTCATCTTGAGCTCACGGCACGGCACGACACCGGCCGATCAACTACCTGGTATCCAACCCTATCAAACTGCTGCTGGGTGGACAGAGGCCGCTTGGGAGGGGATCTGAGAAAACTTGCCCCATTGTTCATGCTGCCTCGCCGGGACGATGGAATCAACCCAGTCACCTCTGGAAGCCCAGCGTGCCAACCATTGCCCCGACGGCGGGCATCCAAAATATATAATAAAAAAAATTTGGTATAATAAATTAAGTCGGTTTAACACGTAGGCTTTCGCGACCAATATCATCCATAATACAGGTTTTTATTGGTTAGATCGCGTAAATATATAAATGTGTCGTTAAACCCGCCACCACCTGACACAGCCAACTAGTAAGGGTTGTCACATAAACAGAACGTGCCAATTCGTCACTAGTACAGCAACACCGGTGTGTTGGAGCGCAAATCCACAACAATTACAATCTGAGTACGACGTTTCTACAATAATTACAACCGGCATCATCAGGCAACAGCCAGATTTGTGGAGTAAACCTCCTGTTTCGTTCCTTAAATAGAGGGGTAGATGTGATGACGTCACTTGTGAGACCACGTGCAAAGGGGGGAGGGGATTAACGATTTTTGTTGGTATAATAAATTAAATATATATTTTTACTGAAAATCGAGTACTCATATGCAACAATCTCTTGCTGGGTAAATCGTTCTACAAATTAGTTTCTGATGTCCCTGTCGGAAACTGTGCGCGCGTTGAAGCGACATCTGGAAGCGCCAAAGCGCTCGCATTCTGCGGAGCTAAAAGATAACAACCTCTCAGGCCACTCGAATCATTCTAATTCGCCGCAAAGAAAATAAAATAGGCGATAAAACCTCGACAAAATTGAAGGGTAATTTGCGGCGAAACGAGCGGGGGGGGGGGGGGAGGTTAATGGAGAACGGTCAATAGCGCCTTTAAATTACACGTCACACATTGGCAAAACCGTGTTCCAAACACTCTGACAAATGTATTTATTTATACATTCTGCTTTTAACGTTGCCAATTCCTGAATGTTCATTTCGAAAATGTTTTAAAAGATTAAGGGGCGGGCGGGCGGGGGGGGGCTGGAAAACACAATTCTCCGTTTTGCACTTTGCCCGCTTCCTCTTATGCTCCTCGGGAAGCGTGAATCGAAAATATTTACATTTTGCAGTCGGTAAGTGTGTTTCTGCAGCTTCAAGCTGTTCCTTTCATTAGCCTCACACAATGTTCAGCAAGATTTCGATTGCCACAGGGTCCAGGTTTGCATTCTGAAAGGGTGAGGGTTGCCACATCATAATTTCGAAATTGCTGGTTATGTAATCACAAGTGCGGTCGTCATCAGAGGGGACTAGCAACTTGCCATGGGGTGGTGGCAGTGCTGAAATGTCAAGTCTTTGAAACAGGGCCCTACAAAAATAATAATAAAAAACGCTTCTTAATATTCTCTTTTGTTAATATCAATGTAAACTAATTTCCAGGGTCTCAAAAGGGTTTAGGGAGACGCACCCCCCCCCCCACCCCACCGCAAACTGCATCTCCCCAGAGCTAAGATCCGTAACATGGTAATCATGTTACATCTGAATCCGATTATAGTATTCGCTGGCAACAACGATTTCGAATCGGAAACCGAGCAAGTCGGCGACGTGCAGAAACGTCTCCTCTGGAACTGCCACGGCTCGGGAGAGCCGTCTCCATCGACCGCGAGAGAGACCGGCCAGAGATGAAAAAGATGATGCCACAAAACTGTCAGTCGTCCGCCAGCCAGCGCCAAAAAATATAAAACATCGCCGTCGCCGCGCAAATCGGCGAAAGTGGGAAGGCAACCAGAACCGGCCCCAGCAACAATTGCCCAAGCTCTGTGGTCCTATATTGAGATGTTTGGGCCGACTCCATTAATTAACCCTTTGCCGTGTCCGAGATGCGTGCAAGTTGCAGGGTGGGTCGTCGCATTCACCGCTGAATCTGAGAACGTGCCGTCGGTTCAGCATGAACTTTATTTGGAGAGGCGTAGTAGCGCCGTTGTTTTTAAAAACATTGTTACTCACCGCAGAGAACTGTCGTGACGCGACCGTCACTCTGTGACAGCTGGCGCCAAACTGTGTCACACCCTCCCCGCATGCCCTTGTGGGAGCCTCGGTCCCAATAAAGTTATTTAAGTTCAGTTTTTCTTCCGGTTCCGTACACATACGTGTACGTCATCAGAACGGAATCGTAAGAAAACGGAGAAAGGGTTCATGAGCTGTTTCTACGCTCCGTTGGTGGAAACCAGAGTCCCCCCCGGAGAAAGCCCACGCATACTCGCGGGATGTAATACTCAATCCTTGCACAGGTGGAGGCTGATCCACTTATCGCCGTACCCTGGCAAGCTCGGAAATGGCGACCTCGACGCCCGTGGCTAGGGTCACGTGATCCACCAGCCCTCACCTCCAAAGTCCTAGATTACAGAGGGCGTGCGTAGCCAACCGTTGCTGGGCTCAACTAATTAATCATCACCCTACGGGCACTAAAGGGTGCTGCCATTTACAACAACTCATCAAATTTCTGGGGGGGCAGTGGAGGGGGGGAGGGATGAAAATCGTTCCACCCGTACTGGACACGTTCATGCTCCGTGAAAAAATAATCGACTGCAAGTCACATCACTCTGAGCTATTTCATTCCATCGCTGAGAATTCGAATTATTACTCAATTATACTTCCGCCCAAAACTGAAATACCTTCATGCTGCGTAAATGAATAGTCGACTGCAAGTCACATCGCTCTGAGCTATTTCATCCCATTGCCAAGAATTCCGGAAAAAAAATTCTCAAAGAAGTGGAGAACCCGGTTCGTCATTTCTTTCCGAGGTCACCGTAGACCGAGTCGCGAAATCGCTTCATGGCAGCTCCGTTCCGCCGCTTATGCGGGGACCGTTTTGCAACCGAGACGATTAAAACCCTACACTTTATTATTATTTTGATTATTGTACAATCAAGAAAGCCTCACAGAGTCTCAGGACTCCTTTTCCCACCAAGTTTAGCGTAAATATAAATGCGTCGTTAAACCCGCCACCACCCGGCACAGCCAATTAGTAAGGTTTGTAAACGTAAACAAAACATGCCAATTCGTTACCTGTAGAGCACACCGGTGTGTTGGAGAGCAAACCGACAGAACTTACAATTCGAGTACCGTGATGTTTCGCCAGTAATTACAACAACCAGCACCATCAGGCAATGGGCAGAGTTGTGGAGAAATCCTCCTCCTGTTTTGGTCTTAAAGAGACGGGGGGTAAATGCGATCAGGTGCGTAAGTTAGAGGGTGGGGGGGGGGGGGGTAATGCATGTCCCTGTTATTCACAACAGCCCTGAGCCGGTGATGGATATTCCACATTTGAGACAGGTGGTCAGGTGGTCAGGATTGGGGTTGGGTCTCCCCGACGGACAACCGCTGTTGACTAACCCACAAACTGGTGCTTATTTTCTTAAACCTGGAGGGATGATGGGCTGAGTGAATCCGTCAACCAGAATTTAAACTAAGCTAAAACAAGAAACTATCTTTTGAATTTTACCAGGTAAGGCCCACTGAGCTATGTAGCTCTATTTCAGAAGCGAGCTGGCCAAAAATGATTGCTCAACAAAGTGATTTATTGCACGGAAATTTAGAGCAGCCAAATACCCTAAACGCAAGTTTCTAAATGCGGAGGGAAAACCCGGAGGACCCAGAGAAAAACCCATGCGACCACGGGGAGAGAGACACGCAAACTCCAAATATACAGCAGGCGTCAGGGTCGGGATCGAACCCACGGCCTCCTGTATACCAGCCGAGGTAGTTAACATCTCACTACCGTGGCAGATTTGAATTGGCAACCTTCCGATTGCGAGCCGCTCGTTCCACCAGCGAGCCGCCTGATACAGGCGGACATTAGAGGCCCCTGTGAAATAATTCGCAATTTCTCTGAGCCAGACTAAATCTCCTGTGTGAAACTGCGGCTACTGCCCCAAATGTAAATCTAACTGCGGTTGTATCAGCAATTCACTGACTGTCGGACAAAACCGATTGAATGGCTAAATCATTGAGAGTTGAATCTGTAATCGTTGCTCTTCATTTGGCCATACGAAAGAAGAAGGGCGAAAATTGAGTGACATTATTATCATCATCATCAAGTATAGGACAAAGTCCTGAAACGCCAACGAAATGAAGAAGCACAGTTGAACGCGTCACTGCGCAAAGATAATGTTAACACACACACATGCACAAACCCTGCAGAATCACAACGCAGTTTCCAAGACAAAGCGTTAACATTGTAAACGCTGGATTGTACTAGAACCTTATAACATAAAATAACTCGCGTAAAGTGACATTGTCATTGCATCCTTGAGGTTTTTTTAAGTATCGTCAGTGTTTTAAGAAGCCGTGCTGTCGACTTAACAATTAAATCGCGATCAATTCTATTGCGATACATTCATGTATAAAATGCGCAATTATACAACCGGGCAGCAGATTCTAGAGCCGCCCGCGCCATTGCAGTAAAAGACCGGTCAGCGATTCTCAAATGGTACAAATTAAGCGCTGAACCAAGTTTACAATAATGGGCTTTTTTTTTCTTCCGTAGAATCATTCACGGCCAGGTTAATGCCACACAACTCGCCACGCTTTAGAAACCCAGAGGAGACTGAAAATCTCGATTCGAACCCAGGCCTCTCGGTTTGGCGCTCTGACCTCTGAGCCACCCCGGTCACCT